AATTAATGACATTTTAATTCTTTATCAGACAGTTACAACATGTTGTATTAAGTCGAAGTACGGAAGGAAACATGTGTTTCCTAGATATGTAAAATGGTTTCAGTTTCACACACGGAAAGAAGTGACAAATAATTCTTTAAAAAAAAATTGTAGAAACAGGACATGGTTCCAGTTGGGTTATTCTTGGGTGGGAGCAAATATCCTCCCTGACAACGCTCCAGTACCCCGGTGTCATTTCTTCCTAAATTGTAACCCGATATAGAACGAAGTACTCCATTCTGTCCGGGTTAAACTAAAGAATTGATTTTACTAATGGCTCATCCATCTTCCTGTCTATTTATGGTAACGTGACATCCAGCACATTTTTGGGGTACTAGTATTTGTGTGTTTAGTTCTTGTGTTTAGATCGGCGACTCATTGCTCCCCGTCACATGTGAAGTACACCCACGACTGCATCATTTTCTTTCCTATACATTATTTCTATGACATCTTTGAAAAATCGACCTTCTCTCTCGGGGATTCAAATCTAAAATTCTGCAAAGAGGGATTTCAATATGCACATTTTTTATGTTTAAGCCCCTCCCCCCAATCTTCAGGATACCAGGGGTCTGTTTTACAAAAGAACTTACGACTAAGACAAAAAAACTTTAGTTCATTGTAAAATTTTGCAAAATTAAAGATTCTGTTTAAAATGGCTTGAGTAAAATTATCTTTCTACATTCCTTTTAAAGAGATTAAAGCCATTTTCAATTTAGTGTAAATAAGAAAGTTATGACCAGAATTTTTTGGTCTTAGTCGTAAGTTCTTTTGTAAAACGGGCCCCCATATTTTCTGTTCAAATTTTACTCCTTATTTGATCTTAATACAAAGTAAAGTATACAGTGCTTGCATGTTAGTGAAAATACCCTTTACTTCTAAAACAGGGCAAAATACTAGTATTAGATAGGAAGTCTTAGATAGCAAAGTGTTTCTTTGATAAGTGATTTAGAAACACCGTAAATGAATTAAAAAATTTATCTTTCAAGACCATTTCAAGGTTTTTCAATTTCATATGTTCATTTTAGAAATACTGATCTCCTTTGTTATGCAGTAACTAATAATCGACTTTTAAGAGATTTTCTTCTTGTAAACTACTGTTTTGTCGTTTTGTTGCAATAAATAAACGTTATATAGCCTACGATACCCATACTTTTCTCATTTTGAAAATAATTTAATTTTTTTTTACCTCTTTTAAACATATTGTTTTACGTTGTTTGGTATTGGTGTTGCTTTTATAAAGCTTTACTAATATAACTATAAATTTTGCAAAGTATATAAAGTTTTTAACTACATTAGTATATGCTTCAAAAATAAACCGAAATTTTTAGATACACTTTCCGGACCAATGTTGATTATTATATACACATATATATGCAATACAGTTATAAATGTAATCTCAAAGATTGTGGTGTTTTAGAGGAAAAAACAATTTTTATTTCTAGATCTGATTTAAAAACAATTTTTTCAAAAAAACAGAGAAACTTTAGTGAAAGCATATTTTAATTTGTTCATGGTAATACCAGCCTAAAGTATTGCATTTGTCTTTAAAGAAAACCATACATAAAGAAAATACAGCCGCTGATTCCTTAAGATCCCTTTATACATGTATATGTATCTGGACCTGGGCATAAGATTCCTTGGGCGGGGGGGGGGGGGGGATTTAATATAGTTTGATAATTCTCACAATTATGCATCCTCATTTTCATTTCATTGTCATTCTTTTCTATTATCTTAAAAACTGAATCTTTATTACGTTTTTTTAAACCTCGGATCTTATTGTCATAGAAAATAATTCTGTTATCTAATTCACTAATTGTTAACATTTTTGTTGTAAATCACATGATTTTGAAGGGAAAAAATGGGGGGGGGAATGTAATTGAAGCTTTCAGGATTAATTCATAGAAGAAACGAGATGAAACTTCAACCATATCACCCTAATTTGCAGGTGAGAGCGATCAGTTCCTAAAATTAATCGTTAAAGCACAAGACGAGAAAATATAATAAGGTTTGATCTCCTATATTATACCAGATATAGTTCACCGTTTGATCTTTCACAATAACAAAGATGAAATTTATAGGAAAAATATAAAATTGTGACTTAGGGCGTGGCCTCTCGGTCAGAGCAGACAGGTGCGAATGTGATCTATCGAATAGATTTCATTTGAAATTCCTCGTAAATTATGCATCAATATTGCGGGAATATGGATGCTGAAGTCAATAAATAGCCGCAGGTTCATTAACAAAATATGTGAAATGAATAAAAAAAACAATTACAATGAAATCAAGCAAAAGGAACTTGGAACATCATATAGAAATCTGTATTGTGTACACTTATTTCCAATCTGATCTCCAATAAATAAGGACCCTCAGAAGATCACACTATTCAATTTTGACAAATCGCTGACCATGGGCCACAGAAAGCCACCACACGTTAAACGTAGTAACAGCGATCAGCTCATTACCCCTTGCAGTGGAGTTTCAATATGTGCATAGCGGAAATTATTACAGTTGAACTAAAACCCTTGAGTGAACTACTTTTTCAGTGGTGGTAATGAGGCGGAAGTGATCACAGCAAATTTCCTCTACTGCGACACTGATATTACAAATTGGCGAGACTCTTTCGAATTATGCGTTAATTTTGCTGATACAAATGAGTTGCTTTGGGTGCATGTATATATTTTATCTCAATGCAATTTCATTAAGGATGGATTCTTGTCATGTTTATATTCAAATTACATTTGCATAATGTCGTTTATATTATACGGTGGTACTTTTAGGACACGTAATTATTTTTTTTAATATACCAGGAAAAATATTTATCTCGTGAAAACGACATATTATCTCGTGAAAACGACATATAATCTCGTGAAAACGACATATTATCTCATGAAAACGACATATTATCTCGTTTTCACGAGATATTTTCTCGTGAAAACGACTTATTTTCTCGTGAAAACGACATATTATCTCGTGAAAACGAGATAATATCTCGTGAAAACGACATGATATCTCGTAAAAACGACATATTATCTCGTGAAAACGACATAATATCTCGTGAAAACGACATAATATCTCGTGAAAACGACTTATCTCGTGAAAACGACATATTTTTTCGACGTTACATTTTGTTACATACATTGAACAACCTGATTTAGTATTTTGCTATTCGAATATGGTTGAAGAGTGTACAAGAGAGGAAGTCATTAAGGAATGCTTTCATTTTGGTTTCAAAGATCATTAAAAAAATATTTAGAAATTTCAGAATACAAATACTACAGCTCCTAGATAAAAAAAATTGTCGCATTAAGGAGACTAGATCCAAACCAACGTTGATATTCATCAAATATATGTTATGTAAAACAGTTTGAAAAAAATGGCAAATATGGTCATAACTCTTTTTAATTCGATCAACAGGGATAAAACTCAAACTTGATCTGTATCTTAAGCTCAGGTATAGGGGACATTTTGATTGAAATTGCACAGGGTTACACAATATAATGTATAATTATAATGTAACTATGGATGTGTAACTTAGTATACATGCTCAATGCAACTTTTATTTAATAAAATATAATATTATATTAACATATTTATTGTCATCTATCTCAATCGCTGACAAATAGATTTGAAAAGGCAATAATAAGTATTTCAGGATAGCACATTGTCTTGTCAGAAGGACATTAATAAATATAGGTCACAATACAATATACCAGAAGAAAAAGTTTCTCAAATCTATAGCAGAAAACTACTTGGTTATGAAAGAAAGCATGATCCATATATAATAAGTATGTAAGTGAAATTGGGGGAAAATAATCAATTTTGGGAAATATGATTTTCTAAAAATTTAATTCAAACAAGATTATATCTCGTTTTCACGAGATAATTTCTCGTTTCCAGGAGATAATAAGTCGTTTTACGAAATATTAATTCGTTTTCACGAGATAATATGTCGTTTTCACGAGATAATATCTCGTTTTCACGAGATATTATCTCGTGAAAACGAGAAAATAAGTCGTTTTCACGAGATATTATGTCGTTTTCACAAGATAATATCTCGTTTTCACGAGATATTATGTCGTTAAAACGAGAAAATAAGTCGTTTTTACGAGATATTATGCCGTTTTCACGAGATATTATGTCGTTAAAACGAGAAAATAAGTCGTTTTTACGAGGTATTATGTCGTTTTCACGAGATATTATGTCGTTTTCACGAGATAGTTTTTCGTTTTTACGAGATAAATATTTCCTGGTATCTTAAAAAAAAAAAATTATTACGTGTCCTAAATGTACCACCGTAATATTAAGATGTTTGGAATTAAAAAAAAATTTACCCTTCTAATAATTGTATAACTTGGCTTAAAACATTCACCCGAGTGTTAATTCTAGCAGAGACTACATAACTGCAGCGTAGGAAATTATCACATGTTCTGCTATTTAGATTCAATACAGAATAATGAATTTAACTTACATTGTTTTTTTTTTTTTAAAGAGTTCTTGAAGGATTTCATAAACTAAATGAGAAATACAACTAGGGACTCAAGTGTTTTAGAATATATTACGAACGATTTTCTAAACAAACTATACAATCCTTTTCATAATGTGAATTCTTTCTCATATGTAAAAATTCGAAAAAGATTAAATCTATGAAACATAAAAAATAACTATAGATATACATAAATAATATATACATGTATATATGTACATACATGTATATATAACTATATATGTACATGCATACATAAAATATACATAAAAATTCTTTTAGAATGTAAGAAAATTAGATGAAATTGGCGTTAACCAATCTACATGTATTCTAATTCAATTATTTATCTCGGGTAACATTATCTGATAAATCTTACCTTTTTTATGCAAAAAGGAAATTTTTGCTACTAAGTTAAGACAGTTTAATTTAATTAAATTGATACCAACAATTAAATTTATTAATCTTATTTAATCTTGAAAATGATTAATTTTTAAAGACATGTACAACAAATATAAGAAGAATCCATTCTAAAAACAATTTCCGGATTCTTCAATGAACATTGCTTTTTCATGTAAATGAGAACACTACTTATATCTGTATGATAAAACACGTAACTTACTTAATAACCAAGCTGACCTTACTTGTGTATCATTTACAAGTCAACACCATGTTTTCACCTATCCCCTCAACAAAGAAATAAACCACACCCACACATTTATAAAAATATATCTATTTATATAAGATTTTATAAATTTATTATATATATCTAACAATTATCCTTATTTTTGGAGTAGGATAATTCAGAGCCGATCCTGCAAATATAAACAAAGAATCATTTAATATTTTAAAGCAATCCAATACAATCGCACTCATGTACATGTATACTAAAGTAATAATAGACAAGTACAGTTTAAATGCAGTTAATCATATTTGACAAAGAAGCTAAAAAAAATCCCATTAGAAATAAAATTCAAAGACGCTCATGCTGTAAAACATAAAAATAACAACCAGTGTTCTGACTGCAGGCTAACTTGTTCAAAGTTTTTTTTTTTTTTAGTTTGTGTTTTGCTTTTTTCGGGGGGGGGGGTGTCGTTTATTTATTTATTTATTTATTTATTTAATTATTCATTTATTTATTTATTTGTTTGTTTGTTTGTTTGTTTGTTTGTTTTGAGTGGGTGTAAACCCACCATCTGGAATTCTGGATGTTCGCGCATGATACAGCAACTATAGTGAGCAACACCAGAATTTTTTTTTTATATTTTACTGAAAAGCATATTTAGCTTTTTCTTAAATGTGCTTTATTCTTTGTTTTTCTTTTACTAAGTTCCTTCTTAAATGATTTTTTTCATCTTTGATTTGTTTTGTTGTTCAGTTGCTTGTTTATTTCTTTTCTATTTTTTTTTTCAAAATGCATCAAGTGTTGAATATGTTTTCTGAACAATATAGCCATATGTCTGTTAATAACATTTAAAAAAAAATGTTTGTTTATTTATTGACTTACTGATTGATTGAAATATTTCTTTCTTTCTTTATTTATTTATATTGACATCTATGTTATTCAGTACATTTAACGAAATATGTATATATCGACACCTTTTATCATAAATATGTCATACTTTCATGTAAAATAAAAGCTTTCAAAACAGTTTATCACACTTAGATTTTTTTTTACACTTATCAATCACTTCATGCCAAACAGTTTTAGATTCTCCGACATTTTACCAGTATATATTTGTTTCAGGTAAGAAATATTCTGAGGTATTTTATAAAAGAATGTTGAACCGAAATTAAAACTTCTATTTCTCTTTCACCCAATTTAAACTCTATAAGATATCTGACTGTCTTTCACAGCATTAGATAATGTGGTATGATAAATATATATACAGGTTTTGTAACAAGTATATGTAACGTTTTATGTGATGTGAATTAGTTTAAATCTTTTGCGTCACTAGAAAATATACTTTACATAGATCAGAATGTCATAAACGCTAGTTTCCATTGGTTATTTTGCTCAATGGTTAATAACTTTAAAAAAATCGGCGTTTTCCCCATAACTAAATGATGATTTTCAAATGTTTATACCATTCATTCAGATGCTGTAGATATTTACTCTCTCCGACTAAAACGAGTTATTGAACTAATTTCCTTAGTCATAAATGCTTAATGACTTTAATAAAAAGTTCCATTTCCTTTACATTAACCACATGGAAATATAAGAAATGTGGAAAATACAAAATGAATTTTATCTAAAGTGCAATGTACGTTACGTGAATATTAATAATTCATATTGTCAATAACACAAGAAATTGCTTTTTTCAAAATTTTATACACTGTAACTGACCTTGTACAAATTTAAGGGAGATAACTTACACGGGAGTCGGAAATGCTTGTCCACTTGAAAACTGAAAAAAAAAAATATATAATAGACACAAGAAATTAATTTGCAAGCAGTGCAGATTTAAATTTAATTGTTAATATTATATTTTAAAATGTAAAGAATGGCGGAAGCAATTTTATGTATTTGAACCATGGAACAATCCCCGCCCCCTGACAGAGTCAAAGATGGTGATTTAAGAACATTTTCTGTTTTACTTCTTTTTTTTTGAAATCAAGTACTACTACTACCACTACTACTACTACTACTACTACTACTACAAATCTATGAAAATGGTGATATTTTTCAGACCAAGAGACATTGGTACAGAGTGTTAAAGAGGTATTATTTATTTATCTTTGCTTTCTAATCACCAAGATTAAAATAACCAAACCTGTATTTCGTTGAAAAAAAAAATCTTTCCCTTAATAAAATACTAAATTTAATCTTGTAGTAATTATAAGTCATAAGAGAATTTAAAGTATAAATATTATGCTATCATGTGCTGAATATACTTACAAATGTAATTAAACTACTGAAGTTTTAATTCACACATCTTCAGTATTTGTTTGGGTCCCTCAATGGTGAGATTTACGACGCGTTTCATTTAAACAGCACTTGCTGCATATGCATACAGAAAGTAACGGAGTAATGAACAGAGCAAATTTACATTACAATACACAGAAAATGGCAATTTAGTATCAAGTTTAACCATTAAATAAACTTAAACAACTCCATATTTGAATATTGCCGGGGAGTAGTGCGAAGTATACACAATTTGGCGCGCGTTTGTGTATATTTCTAAAGATACAAGCATTTGCCATCAAATTCTACAACATCTTACTCAAATATAATTTCAGATTTATCAGTTTGATCATATTTGACGGGTTGTTTACTCTTTACTTTGACTATTTACTTCTTGTAAATAAAAAGCCCTATTTATCATCAGTCACATTCATTCACAAAAACTGTATCTGTTTTATTTATATTTCAAATTATAGTAAATATTGTATCTTTTGTCGATACCATTCATATACTGGAGTTTTATTCCATAAAAAAACTTTATTAATATTGTCAAGAAATAAATCTTAATAATCAAACAATAGTTTTAGGCTATGGTACCAGCGGAAAGATATAATATCAGATCGCCTCAATTAAAAAAAAATATATATATTATACACCGATCCGAAAAAAAAATCTATTTTCCCCGGGGAAGCTTGTGATTTCTCTAAATATTTAAATGTTACTTTTTTCCCAAGTACGAAGCACATTTCTAATTTCTATACGATTGGTTAGATTTCAGTACGAAATTTTTTTATCTCTTTAGGATAAAGGTTAGATTTCAAATGTTGACCCTTTTGTCGCGTTGAGGCAAGTTTACAAAGTTTATAAAAATGTTTTGCGTGAGAAAAGTTAAACTTTCTAAAAATCTAACAAAACCATGTTAAAATGTGTGTATTTTTGTTAATTACTTGGAATTTTGAGCAAACATTCTGTGAATGCCCAAGGCGTCAAAATTCTGCGTCTAATTGATAATCAAAGACTTCTCTGATGGTCAGCTTTGTGGTGGAGGCACTGGTCATTTACTTTTCTTCTTATTCATACCAATTTGTACGAACTGTTTGTTTTCCTGGCAAATATTGACACATTCTTGCAAAATATAATGAGCTTGCAAGAACTGGACGCTGGTGAATTCCCGTACTAATTTACTACCGATATTTTGTACAAGAGATAAATGCATTCGATTTTGACACTGTCGGTCCAAATACAACCAAATTACTGCTATTTGTTTTAGTTCCGCTAGCCAATAAAGCTTGTATAACTAGCAAGGTCATAATGACCAAAAAGGGCTGTATTTACTTTTAATTATAACGAAATAAAATTTTATTCGAAAGTAATTAAATTTAGTTCTAAAATTCCCCTTTCAATATATCATCTATAAATGCTCTCTCTCTCTCTCTCTCTCTCTCCAAGAAATGTAGAATTATACTCCTAAACCTATTTCTTGAATTTAATCAGAAAAGTAAACGCCCTTCACCTATTTTTACAAGTGAATATATCCCGTTAATATATGAAAACATACCATAGTTTTCACAGTTTTCTATCTAAGAAGTTAAAGGAATGAATAATATCTTACGTATTATTGGTTAAACAACACAGGTATAGTTTTAAACCCAAGAACCATTTAATAACATCAAAGATTTAACCTTTCTATTGTCGATATGATAATAGCAAATAAAACAACTGTTTTGGCTGGGATAAAGGGCTGTTTATAAATGTTTTGATATCGATTATGGGAAATCTTTAGCGCTTTTTTGTTTGATCTTTCTAACAACCAAGATTCTTCAGTGGATTTCACAAAATGGATCAATTGTCATTCTTATTGTGAAAAAAAACTGTAAAAATTGATACAACACAAAAATTAAACACTGAGACAATTGACTGTTAATTTAAAATTCTAACAAATTATGAAAAAAAAAGAACGAAAGAAAAGAATCCAAAAATGTAAATAAAAAAGTAAAGAAGGAAATATTTACATCCTTGCTTATTTGAAACTCTAATGCTCACATACCTATAATCTAATTAGTATTTCATGACGTTGCAACTAATATTTTGATGATAAAATAAATTGAAAAAAAATTGAAAAAAAGACTTTTTAATATAAACAAGAAAAAATCTGAAATTAATAGTATCATTGTAATAATCACTCTGATGCTTTACACTAATTTACTTACATGGGCTCTACCAGATGGCGAAATAATGAGGTTTTTCTACCTATTTTACATAAGTTATAAACTGAGTAGAGCGTCAGGCATTCTGTGGCTGACATCTAAATACAAGAAACACTTCAAATACTACATGTATCAAATATCACTTAATTTTTGTCAATGGGAATACTTCAGAAAGCTGTTTAATGTTTCTAAATGTCACACACACTTTTATCTAACCCCAAATTCTTTAATTACCGAGTTGTTGCACGTGTTTTCTGTTCAATACACCCTTCTCCCGTGTCGGTTTTCTCTTTTATACACCCCAGAAAGCTTCCACCACTCTTCTGGGTGTCGCAGTGCTTTTCAATGTCGCAAATACAATTCCTTCAAATATATTCTTTTGTTAAACCTATTGATATTTTTAACAATTAGCCCATATTCATCTAACAGGTGTTAATCTTTTATTCTAAAATTCTGATTACTGAAATAAAAATTTGCAAAATACATGGTCCTGACATTCTCTGTAAAAATAAAGGTGTTTTTTGAATAGCGTGATTCACAGCCTTCACGGTAGTTGGTAAAGGATTCATTTATAAAAAATTTTAAAAATGTATTTTTAGAACTGTTTTTTTTTAAATAGATATGAGTTTTGTTTAGAGGTGCTGTTTTCTGTCTTCTTTTTTCACGGTGATAAATTATATTTGGAACTCTGGCCAGCCTTTTCCCCCTGATTAGTGCCTCCGCTCCAATTTTTATAACAAATAGAAAAGCACAGAAATAATCGAACGGATTGTATAATATTTGATATTTTAAGATATATAGATTAGAAAAACATCAGAGAGAATTTGATGAATAGAGTTAAATGCCAGCTACAAATTCTCCGTTCAGTTCTTACTGTCTCAGTATAGATCTTCCTTGTAAGAAAAAAAAAAGTCCTGGGTATAAATGTAAATGTAAATGTAAATGTAAATGTTCTTGACTTTACAAAAGTACAGAAACTATTGATATTTGTGAATATTTTTACATTTATTTAATAATGCAACATGATGGTTGCCTTGTAATATTTCCGTAAATGCGCTTGACTTTACAAAAATTAATATTTATAAACGATATTGAAAGTATTAACATAAGTGAACGATTAACTGAATACATGTATCAATTTATTGTATGAATACTATTAAAATCGTAATTTTTGGATTCACAGGCATCCCATTCGTGTCCTGAAACGTATTTTTTCTTTAATGTTTCTGTTCGTTAGAAAGAAAAATTTAAACCTAGTAGTTTGGCTTTTAAAAGTTAAGCTTAGTTTGTACAAATAAATTTTCCCCAAATTCGGTATGAAAGTATTTCAAAAGGTTTCATAGCTTTCCTGCATAGTGTATTTTTTTTAATTTTAATTTTTTTTACCCCGTAATTAGGGATATCAAACCGCAAACAGATGCGAAGACATCAGAATAAATCGCCACTAAAATGAAATTATGCTCACAATAAAATGAATGTTGTAAAAATCGCTGACATTAATGTTGGAGGAGAATATTCCCGCCTGATGGCATTTTCCAGAGGTGACCAGTGATGGTATCAGGCGCGTGACGGCGCATGCCAAGAAACGTATTTACGGATGTCGTGAATCTGTCGTCAAGAAGCAGACAGATTGGAACAGATTCAGGATGGCTCTGTAGTCCACACGTCCCAGAACAAATTATACTTCAAAAGGCTCTGTGAACTACTCCTGGCTGTTTACGTCAGAATCTTAAGCCCTAACAGAAAACGCTTAATTGATTAAGGTGACACATTTCCTAAAATGACCGTGTGATCCAATTTAGAACAAAAATTAATAGATACTAAAAAATATTGGTTTCTGCGATAACCAGTATTATAAAGAGTAAGACGGGTACACTCTACGTCAAGAATATTCTCTAAAACTGATTGAGAGGAGAAAACATTTAAACAACTATACCAGGTCAATGTACTAAACACAGCTTGCATATTGTCGCTGTGATTCGCAAATAATACGCATAAATAAAAACATGTGCTTGATTTAGCGTATATTTACAGAGCAAATATAGATAAAATGCCGGCCTAATCAGGGAGTATTTTGACGATATCAGAGTGATTACGGTGATTGGCCAGTCCGTCCTGCCATATGATAAATAAACCTTTATGGCGCTAAATATCGACGCTGTCATTGATCCGGGGGATTTATTGCAAATCTCCGTTACCCTAACAACGCCCCAACACGTGTTGTCCAAAGCCTACCCCTCTAAAATTGGAATATTCAAACTAAGACACATCAGTTCAACTAAAAAATGGAACCTAGCATAACTGTTTCAGATTTATAAAGCCATTGAAACTTTTAATTGAAGGTTGAAATCATACAGGCCTTAATTTTACGATGATTTTGTTATTTTAACATACTTGTTTTTCAATTTTTGATTATTTATCAATTCATAACATATTTTTGGGATTTTGAAAAGTGATACCTTTACCGGAAATTACACATTTTTTTTTCGATTACAGAAGAAAAGGTATTCCTGTTTTATCTTATATAAACATTGCATGTCGTTGAGAGTAACATTGAAATCCCCCCCCCCCCAAAACCATTGTCAACCGAGGCACAGCAGCAATGTTGACTGTTGCTATATGTATGTTCTATCTCGCTGGAGGATGAGGTTTCATCATTCAGAGGCTAAATGCGTTTTTAACAAATGTTTCTCGACAAATCAGATTCAACTAATATACATGAATGTATAATATTATTTATTATCGAATGTATAAGCACTTTTGAAGTACATACCGGCATGCACCACGTGACATTGGGAGCTACATTCAGACCGTAAACAAATTATGCAGAATGGGGAAAGCAGTTATACGAAATGAGAAGAATTGCCTGAAATGTTAAGAGTAATTAACCGATATTACTCTGAAGAGCATAATAAATACTAGAACAATGGCACACCTTTCCTCGCGGATTGTTAAATGGTACCTTTGTAAATTGAACATAAAATAAACTTTGTTTTTAATTTTTACTGCAGACTTGAAAATTGTCTAAATAAAGATAATTCTAAGTTACTAGAACCATTCACTCCTATTGTCTATCTGTCTGTTTGTCCTCTTCATTGGCTATTGTAACATTTGTTATAATTTACACGTATTTCGAACATTTCTGTGCACTTTCTATCGACTCTTTCTGTGGCCTGTTTAGAATAAAGTTTCTTAATAAAGTAATAATTAGTGTACTTAATCTTTGCATACATAAAACTTCTAAATCAAAAACACGCTTGTTTTAATCTAAACACTTTATATGTGAATACAAGAAGGCTGCATTCGTGTCTCAAGAAGGCGTAAGTGTTTGAACATATATATATATATATATATATATATATATATATATATATATATATATATATATATATATATATATATAT